TGTTGCTACAGCATGAATATTTTCCTCCATTGACTTCTTTCGAAGTCTTTGGGGGAATGAAAGTGGAGCTACATATGATTTAACTTTTACAGGAGTCCTGGGTGGATCGTATTCTACTACTCTCATTGTCATCACTTGCTCTTTATGATTTGTCATTGTATTGCTTGACAATGATCTACGTGGACGTTCTGCAAGTTGTTGAGCTATCTGACCAATCTATTTTCTACACATATTGATGAAACATATCCCTCAAACATGGTTTGTTCTCATGCTGGGCATTATTTGAATCATTTCCTTTTTAATTATCTGACCATCTGAAAGCCATTTTGAATGAAATTGACTTGTTCCTCCGGAAATCCCATAGACATACAATTTTCTGTCAAATGGTTGGCTCCATAGTTTTCACATGATGGACCACCCATCACTGCATGGCCCCTCTCGTTTATGATTTCACCAATAACTCTACATGCTTTGTCAAAACTACTATCTGCAAATTGGTAAATGTTGTGCTATCTAATTCATACATCCCAGATACTCTCGGTGGTACCACTATTTCTAATGAAAACATTGAATGTGTTGGCCAATTAACTCAAATAAATCCATGATTTGTTGTACTGATTTTCCTATGATCGATTCACAACAAAGGAATACACCTGAAATTTTGATAGTGGTGAGAATCCGGTGTAGAAATACTGCACTTGATTTCATATTGCAATTTCATGATTTGGACACTTTCGCATAAGCTCTTTGAATCTATTACATGTCTCATGATAGATATCTCCATCTTTTTGTTTGCAAGTTTGAATTTCCAATCTGATTTTAACTACTTTCGCCGGTGGGAAGAATTTGTTACAGAATTTTCTAATCAATTCTTCCCATGTAGTAATGCTTCCATGAGGTTCGGCGTTTAACCACTCAAATGCTGCATCTCTCAGTGTATATGGAAATAATCGCAACTTAATAACGTCTTCATTAACCCTAGAGCATGGAAATTTTGACAATTTCTGAGAAATTGGAGATATGTATGCTCGAATTTTTATGAGGTAGGCCATAGAATTGGAGAGTGTTGCTTATCAAATTAATCCACTCTGCCCTTATCTGAAAATTATTTACCCTGAAGTCTGGATACAATATACTGGAATGCGTAAGCGCTGCTATGGGCATCAAGAACATTGAAACTGGCAAGTCTCATTTATTTATTTCCTCTCGCTCCAACTGTTGATCCGGTGGCGCCACTACTCTTGCGGCCACTTGTCCAATTGGTTGAATAAGAATATGAATATTTTGATCGTCTGTCATTTGATATTTTTATTTTTGTTTGTGTTCATCGCGTTTTCATGTGAAAGTACGTTCTATTTTCGAGTCAAACGGTTCAAAATTGCCGCTTTGGGTACAGAGCATACAATGAACACTTAAAAGAAAATAAATCAAATAACAGTTAAAAATAAAATAAACTAAAATTAAAAGTAAATAGTCTACCGTAACGGATTCAAAAACTTGTTGCGTTTTTTATATTGCAAGTGTATGATATCGTAACAAGCAGTATAATTGACCTTTGAATCCAGATATCGTTCCCACGAAAACTATAGTTCAGGACTTAATCAAATTTTTCTAACTCATATTTGTTGAAAACAAACAAAGAATTATATGTTGTAATTTTTGGTTTAAGAACTTGAAATTAGTTAAAATGCACTAAAAGATTGATTGAGAATTCAAATAATGGACGGATATTAAGGCCGAATAATTTCATCTATTGATCACCTTAAGTCTTA